CCCCCCCTCTCTCCCACCCTCCTCAATTCTAACAAGTTACCGTGGTTTAATTGATCTTTCCTATAGAAGGTCATTTTATCAAGTACAGGGTAATAAAAAAAAAACCGACCAAACTTTAAAACCTTTTTTTTGTAATTATTTCCTCTACACTGAAGCTTTGTGTTTCAAATTTTCACACAACATGTGGATGCCAAAAGGAATGTGTCTAAAATACATTTTATTAAATTTTATCAAATGACTTTGCTCTGGATAGCGCATTAGAAAACAACCCATTGTTTGACTTGTTCCCATCTGTGCAGCATGACACACTGTTTCACATTGGGCCGGCCACGAAAAGTCGCAACAATCGCGCCATTTTGTAAGCTACAGCAGTCTAACAAGTCAAGAGAAATTTGCAGATATTGTTTCTCTTCAAGTTTCCTCTGCCTGCTGAGATCATGGTTAAGTTTAGTTTTTAAAAAAGCAAACAGGTTTTTTAAAATATTCAACAATACCTCACCTTAAGTTCATCATCCCTGACATTTCGTAAGTTTCGCTCAAGGTACGGAAAGAAAGCTAAAGTGCCCCCAAGGCCTTCTTTGATGTCATGGCTAGAGATGATCCGTCAGTTTGAATATATAGAGAATCAGAACTAAAAATTCCCCTGACAAAAAAAACACTTCAGGCCGAACATGCATAATCCACAATCCTTTAATCGTCACCAGAGTGCAGAATTCAGTAGTCGAGTCCAGTGAAATGTCTGTCCACAGACGATATCTTCGGCTAGGATTTTTCTACACATCAACGGTCTGCATTCCCAAGGCAGGTCTTCACCAATGACAGTACCATTTGTGAAGCGTGCTGACAAAATGAGTTACTTCTCTCAATCCACAAAGGGAGATATTGGTCAAAAATCAACACTCTAAGATCAAATTAGATTTTCTATAGATGCCCTATTCCTTATGTATAACATATCTCTTGATATTTCCTACTTATAAATTGTAAAAACTCCACCTATAATAAGTGGGAAGTATCTATTTCCGTAAGGCTTGAATCCGGGAAGTAACTCATTAATTAGTCAGGACACCTCACATTTGATTTTTCTTGTTCGTGAGGCTGACATGGATCAGAGGATGGCAATGTGTTCGTGCTTCCTCAGTTGTCTTGAACCTCGATCGTCTAGAAAAGCATGAATCTCGATGACATTTGCTTCAGTGGCAAAGCCCATTTTCCCCTTCCATGAGGATATTATGCAAACTCCACAAAATCTGTCTATTGCCCCCCCC